GTCGAGCGGAATTGCAGCTGATTGCGCCGGCGCGCGCATGAATTGCAAATGAGCAGAAGCGCGCGCGAAGCTCGGGAATGAAATGACAAAGCGCGCGATTTGGGAGTTTGTCATCCGACACCTGGAGAGAGCGAGCAAGCTTGGCGCGCGCAGGTGCACCTTTTATAAATGTCTGGCATTTTGCGTCAATGCGGTGTAACGTCTCGTCCTTCCTTTTTCAGCCGCGCACACGCGCTCCTATTGTCTCGCGCGGAGATGCGCAGATAGCGGCGCTCAAAAAACGTCTATCGAGTCGCGCGAATTCCGCAGCGCGGTTTCGAGAGCGCGAGTGCAGCATATTCCTCGTCCGTGACGGATTGTTAACGTGGCAGCAACAGCGTTGGCTCTCTTATATAGGAATGACGTACAAGCAAATCAGAGGCGCAAGAACTCGTTCTGCAGGATCGCGGCAGCAGCCTCGCCGCGCAGGAATTCGTTTAGTACACGCCGACGCTTTTGACCGATTGTGTTTTAAATTGTGACACGCTCGAGTCCTCGCCGAGTCGCTTTCTTACTCCCTCGCACCTGCCGTTTTTGCCCGACTCGGCGCTCTAGCCGGCCGCGAGAATTTCGTCCGCCGCCGTCGACGATTGCAGCAGCCCAGCGCCCATTGGATTTGCCTAGACGCATCTCAAAATTCATCGACGAATGCCAGACGAATGTCGCGCATCCGCAGAGAGCACGGGAAAAAAGTGGCGAACGAATCAATCGGCTGCGATTATTTGGGAAAAAGTAAGGAGCGAAAGAGAGTCACTGCGCTCGTGTGGTAAGAACGAGTTTGCGAGACTATGTCGGCTGCAGTATGCACCGCGCAGCAAAAACAATATTGAGTTAATCAACTAATTTATAATTAAAATTCCTGAGTGGCGCGGCGCGCTGGCTGCTCTCCCTCTCACTCTCTTTGTTCTGTCTGCAGAGGAGGAGAAGGAGCGTCGCTGTCTGGGCCTGGCAACCTTTTCGCGGTAATCCCTGTCAAATTCATAGAACGACAATTAGCCGCTGCTCATCGTCGCGCGCGCGACCAGCCTATCCCTTCTTTTCTGCAGGCGATTAACAGACCAGGCTGGAGTTTCTTAATGGACCATCTCTCTCGCCGCGGCTAAGGACCTCGTAATGTCCACTTGTGTGCCAGTCGTTACGGCTTCTTCATTGATACTTTTTTCCCTCTTCTGTCGCTCGCTCGCTCGCTCGCTCGTTCGCTTGCTCTTCGGTCTGCGTGCCCATCTTTTCATTAGTTCGATCCCAGTATCCCAGTAAATATTCATGAAAAACAAATGTAGACCTTCCTTTTTTTCTTTCACGACAAACATGTCGACTCGAGCAATGACCAACTCTCAGTTCTTTTGCATCTTTATAACTCAACGATCCGAACAATGTTGTCGTTCGATATTGGAATAATTTACCCACGGAATAGGATTTAAATTGAATTAATGAATTCGCACTAGCAACGTAAATAGGCGATGTTAATTTTTATTGCTTTCAATTAATGTGTCCGTAACAGTCGGCCACAAATGGTTGCTCGAATTAAACAAGAACGACGACTGACCTGCTCGGGGCTTCTTTTTAAGGAAATCTAAAGTGCATCTCTCGGCTATTACCAATTATAATAAAGACCAAGCTGCGAGTATACGTAAGTTGGTTTGTCTCGCGGACGCGTAATTGCCGCGCAGCCCTCGTACAAACAAATGAATCATTTTACGCGCTGCGACATCTGCGCCAAGAATAAACGTTCTCACAATTCGCGGCTGATGCTATATCATTAAATGACAATATATCGGGCGTACTTCAATTATTCGTCATTTTCAGCGCCGATGGCGAATTCGCCGCTTCAATTATGTGCACATAAGTCATTCGTCTGGTCTTCCGGAATACATCGAAAGGAGATTAAGAAGTAAAAAAAGGCAGCAAGTAGACGCGAAACGTTGAGTAATTCTAAATGAGGGAGCGGCGGCTGCTCGAAAATACAGATCTGTTTGTTGATTAATCGCTCAGTGGGCTCGTCGAGCAATAAATGCTTCGACTGGTCGTTCTCTGGCGAACTGCAAAACCATTTTATTTTATCCAACGGCATACTGCCGCCCCGCCCCTCTCCTGTCGCGGAATTCGCGATCGCTGTGTTTATTTTCGAAGATTACGAACCGCGCAACAGTTTATTTTGGACGAGCGGGGCAAAGTAGTCCGTGCACGTGTACGTACGTATGAGACATTCTCTCGCGCCCAGCGACGACGAAGACGACGAAGACGACGGCGACGGCGGTGGCGACGGCGACGACCACGACCACGACCACGACCACGACCACGACCACGACCACGACCACGACCACGACGACGACGCGTGTTAAGCTCGCGATGAAGTTAACGAAGTCTGTCATGTGTAACTTCATGACGATGTAATCTCTGGTGTGGTGAGAGTATCGCGTGCTATAAACTATAAATACAGCCAGCTGAGATTGGTCTTTGCCGTGTCCGAAGTCAAGTTGGATCGAGCGAGGAGGAGATGATAATTCGGCGAACGGAAAGTAGGTGAAGCGTCGAGGAGTCGAGAAAGGGCGTCGCCGATTGATAACGCGCGCGCGTTAGCTGGACGAAGGGGAGGCCTGGCTCGCTCTCGCGCGCAAACCACGGACGACGACAGCTGTACTAAAGAGCATTAATTACGCCCGCAAGGAGCCTAGTCCGCGTGGATCATCTTGCCACCCACGCACTCCTGCGGCGTCCTCGTCCTCGTCGTCGCGACAGAACCGGCATTTTTCCACGCGGGCGCCGTTTCGCTCGCGCATTCCTCGAATAATTTCGAATTAGTCATGCTAATTGATCGGCATGCCTCGCTTTTTCTTCATCTCGGGAGGCGCGCCATTTGCAAGCTCGCTACTTTATTTCGACGTTATTGTCGGTTGCTAACGAGCAGAGCCGAGCAATTAGCCGAGCGATTCTGCTCTGCGAATTGAGAGGAGGCGAGCTTATCGATAAGCGTGCACGGACGCTAGGCGCGCGGGCACTCGGCAAAATAGTTTTTTGCGCGCAGCCCCGTCAAATTCTCGAAACGCGCGAGGCTAATTTGGCGCTTCTTAAATGGTAATCCGCGGCGTGGCTGCGCTCCTTTTTGCTCGGCGCGTAAATCTTGGCGGCGCCGAGCTATGCCAGCTATTCGGCCGCGCTGTTTTTACATTTTTGACGAACTTCTTGACAAAGACTGACGCTTGTCCCTCTCTCCTTCGGCCTTTCTTGTCCGACGTGTTATTTATTGTTATCGCTCGCTCGCGGCCAGACATGCATTTATGAAATTCTAATGATCGCAGCGCTATAATTGAATTAAACGTTTTTGCGCCCCGGTAAAAAGAGGAGAAGCCCAGCCAGCGCACGTTTTCGAATTAGAGGAAGTTAGTTTCTCATGGTTTCGGCGGGGAAAAAGTGTGCCGTTCGAGAGTCGCTTGGTCGCTTTCGAGGAAACCGTTGACGGCCGAACGCGCAAAAAATTCTCTGCGCGTCCAAGCGCGTCACGGACCAATTGATCCAGCAGCAGCGTTGATTGTCTTGCAATTATCCTGGACAGCAGCTAAACTGGCCGCTCGGATAGAGCGATTAATCAAAACTGTTGCTCGACGTTGCACCGAGGGCAACCGAGCCTCGGATCCACGGGCGCAGCGCTCGCTCGAGTCGATCTGTTGGCACTTTGGCGCGCGACTCGTTGCTCAACAGCCCCTACCAGCCTCGAAGCGAGCCTCGCAGGATTCGCAGCAGCTCGAGTTTTTTCTTTTTTCTTCCGCCGGTCGCGCTCGCACTCGTGGCGGACGAGCAACAAATTGGCAAGAGGCGAACTAATTAGAGCGAGGTCGTCGGCAGAAAATGCGCGTAGCGTTGGAACGTGCGTCATGGCGCCCGCTCGGATATGAAAAACGTCTTGCAACAAAGTCTAATTTGTATTCGTCGGCGTTGGCCCCGTTTAATCAGGCGGATCTGCTGCTCTCGGCCCGCGTGATTTGCAAACTTGCGAATTATCCGGCCGACGCATCGTGAGACTCAGAAGGACAACTCTCATGCGAAAGTTGTTATTTCTTGTCGCTTGATCGGACCCACTGATTGACCCAATTGCGTCCCGTCGAATATTTTCTCTTGGTCGCCTCTCGCGTCGGCCATTCCTAAATCAAACTGTCCCGCTGATTTTTTTGGCCCGCGCCCGTGCTCGCATAAATTCAAACGCGGCCGCATAATCGCGCAATCAATTACCGATAGATGCATCGATATTCATCGAGCGGAAATTCATTAAGGGATCGCGCGTCGATGCTCCTTATTATCTAGCCCCGCGTCTGGCCACGCGCACGAGAGCCCAATAAATTGCGCGGACGTCAATCGTTAGCAGTGGTTAGCGCGCGCAAAGTGGAACGAAGTGGCAAAGTCGTCGCGGCTCGGACGCGAAAAAGTCGACTGCCTACGTGCGCGCGCGCGCGCACCACGAGAATATAATAAATAAGCGATGGACTCGGCGAGCCTTGGCTTTTATCTCTCGACACGCTTCATTTCCAACTCGATTCGTTATTTCTAGCTGCTTTACTTGGCTCGCTGCGAGCGGAAAATGCAATTTTAATGAATCTGAAAGATCCGCGAGCGAAGGATCGAACGGCTCGCGCACAGCAGCGCAGCACGCGAGCGGACGTCGGAAAAAAGAGGAACACGGAGAGAGGCAGCCCCAACGCCCGCGCTCAAACTAAGATCGGGGCTTGGCCGCCGCGCTGATTGCTTCTCTCGCGGAAAGGCAACGATCGACGTTGCGTCATGTCCAAACTAGCGAGTTGCGCGCCGTGCGCGCCTGTCCGTCCACGGAGATCATGCAACAAACTGGTGGCTAACGTGGCTAACGTGGCTGAATTGGAGCTGGCGCGAGTCAATTGAGCGTTCGCTCGTTCCAGGAAGCCACTTCTACGGATACTAAGCACATAACTCTCTCTCTCTTTCTGTTTCAGATGCCATGGGTAAGTGGAACAATCGAGAGCTTTCTCCTGCAATGGCGCGACTTCACGACGAGGGTAAGGAGAAGTTGATAAGCGATAGGCCATCGCCGACGAGAAGGCTCGGCGCGCGCCAAATCGCGACGTTAATGATCGCAATTAACCGCGTCCCGCCGCCTGTATCGCTCGGCCAAGACGATTTAATCGACGCCTCGATTCATTGCGAACGGCCTCCTTAATGGCTTACACGCGACACACTCGTTTCTGACGCCTCGCTGCCGGGGCCGCGCTCGCCTCCCGACAATTTGCAACGAGGCACCGGCAGCGGCGCTCTCTCGCCATTTTTCAGCTCTGACCGCGGATGCGCGCCGATCGCCGACGCCGCTCCGACGCCGCTCCGACGCCGCTCCGACGCCAATTAATTCGTGACGCAGAGCCGCCCCATTACCAAACTGATCAATCAATTTTTCTCGGCCGCGTGCAATTCCCCCGCGCTCGCTCTCACCTACGCGAGTGCGCGCGCACGGCTAATTAATATATAAGCCAGAGAGTATCCTCCCCATAAATATGTATGCGCCGCCGCGTGCAGCCCCGATTTTTCTTTTTTTTTCTCTCTCTCTTCTTCCATCCGAGCGCGAACCGGCTTCTGCGCTCAACGTTAAATTTCGCGTTAATTATCGAGGCATTTTTCGTTGATTTCGCAAGCTGACCACCACCCCTCGAGCTACAATACTATCGCCGTGTGCACACGAGTCAGTGGCCCAATGCTCATTTTGGGCTTTATAATTAAAAGCGAGCGGCGAGCGGCGAGCGGCGAGCGGCGAGAGCGAGAACGAGAGCGAGAGCGAGAGAGAGCCCAAAATATCGATGGCACACGTTCGATTGGATTTATATTTGGCCGCGCTTGAATTATTCAGCGAAAATCCGACTGTTTACGAGCCTCTAATTCCGCATGCGATTCGATACATCGCATCGTAAACACGGATTAAAACACTAGTATTGACAATGCAAAAGCTTTCTGTACGAGTCGTAAAATTGTCCGTCTCTTTTTTTCAATAAAAATTGAAGGAAAAAGTCGAGTGGAAGAGAGGTCAGATTGAATATGCATTCGGCGGTGCGGTTATGTCTGGCAATGCAATTACTCGCGCTCGCACACCTCGAGACCCTCTCTCTCTCTCGCTGCTGTGTTGCCTGTACGTGTAGGCAAGTAAGAGCTGTGTGCCCCCTGCTGGCGTGAATTTGGCACCGCGGTCGTCCGACAAATAGATTACGTGAGCTGCGGGGCTGCTGCCGTTCCCTTCCTTGCTGTCGCACATGCCACTCACGTAGTCGCATCATCCGAATAAGAGCAGCGCCAGGCCACAAGAGAGGGACGAAGGAAGGAAAAATTGTAACGCGGCGCGTTCGAATCCATTAAACCATTCCATTATTATATCGACGCCCGCAACAGTTAGCCGAGGGCTTCGGAGCTGCGGGCACATTGTATATGCGGATCTCGTGCGCGCATGACGAGCCGACGTCAAAGTGGAGAGCGATTAGCCGCGCTACGATTTTCTTCACGGGACCATCGTGTATCGCGCCAGATTAGATTCCGAGCTCACCACAAAGCCTCTTGATCTCCCGCTTGTTCTTACGGCCAGTTTCCCTTATCGACGATTACCCTTCTTTTCCGCCAAAAAAGAAGACAAATGAAAAGAAGCGTTTATCGCGTGCTCGTCGACCTTAAGCAAGATGTTGCCTTTGTGCAGCCCCGATAAAAGCAGCGCAGTATCTCGAGCCTCGGCGATGCAAATTTAATGGTCGTCGGGAGGCGTCCAAGCGTGCCAATCGCACGCAAGCATGAGCCAGACTTCAACGTCGAGTCGCGTCCTCGAGATTTCGCTCGCTCTCTTTCGCCCCCGGATTTAACTTTCAAATTTTGCGCGCACGCATACGTGCAAGATTTTCATTCGCGATGCAAAAGCCAGGGCTAGCCCCGCCAACCACTGCGGATCTAATTACGCCCGCGGGCTTTAATTATTCCCCGGGGAATAATCAGCACGGAGAGAGCGAGGCTGCTCGCCGTTTCCAGGGTTAAAAGGTCGACCATTCGCCATTTAGAATCAAACTAATTCTCGGCGAAATGAAAAGAGGAAGAAGAAAAGCAGTCGCGAGCGTGCGAAATGAAGCAATGCATCTTTCGTTCGTGCATCCTCCAAGTCTGGAAGGAGCTAGGGATGAATGCAAAGAAGAAGAAGACGAAGAAGAAGAAGAAGAAGAAGAAGAAGAAGGCGAAGAAGAAGAAGGAGAAGACGACGACGAAGAAGAAGAAGACGAGGAGGACAAAGAAGAAGAAGCCGAGACAAAGTTGGCGGCGAGCGGCACACCCGAAAGACGAATGGCAAAGCGAGCGCAAGTTATGCCAAGATTTCTTGCCGAGTAGCCTATGATACGCCGCTCGAAATGCCAGCGCGCGCGTGATGAGAGCGAGAGGCAAGAGATAACGCCACGACGCGCGAAGCGTGAGAGCATCAGCTGCTCTCTCGTCGCCGATGATAAAAAAAGGCACGCGTGCGAGCATCCCGCTTGCGCGTACGGCCGCGAATATGCCCAATTAGCGCGGCTCGACATAATAACGTATCGATGAAACAAGCGATGCAGTGTGGCGGTCAACATCACAGCTGACATCTGCCTACCTTCGCGAGCCAAAAAAGAACGATTCGCATTTTGAGGGCGACTTAGGTACACTCAGTGTCAGCAGTGATTACCGATGACGAGCGGGCGAATTGAAATAACAAGCGAACGCACAATGCAGGGCGGATTTTTCAGCGGCGCGCAAAAAGACAGGAGGCGGTGCGGAAAAGAGCGGAGCGGGATACGCGTACGAAGGCTGTGCATATGCATGTCGTGCCGCTGCACATTCTCTCTCGGCGGCACTGTTTATTAGCGTGATTTATGGGCCGACGCCAGCGCCGCGCGCTTCGTCGTCCTTTTTAGCGTCCTTTCTGCGCTCGCGTCGCTCGTTCTTGCGCCGCGCGTGCGCATTGCTCGCGATAATTGCAAATTGCGAAACGTCTTAACCGCGCGTCGCGTCGGACGTGGGCGTCATCCCTCGACGCGCCTCGCGGCGGGCGCTTCCCGTTTCCAGCGGCCGGATGCCGGAACGGACCGAATCGTGTAGCCGGAAACGGAGTTTTCGTTTGGATTGGACCGACGGAGGACAAGCGGAGAAACCAGTCGGGCCCGCTGCGGCCAGCGCGCTCTCGTGGCGCTCTCGTGGCGATTGTTCGATAATTCATGTATTATTATTATAGTCGACATCGTTGCCGCGCGAACGATGAATAATTTGGCGCAGTATCTCATCGGCAAGCTTCCAAGCGCTGGCACGCTCTCGCGCATTAGCCGTATTATTTGACGGCGGCGCTCTTATTTATGCGAATTTCATTATTCATCGGCGACGTTAATCGGATGCAGGAGGCGTGGGCGGCCTGCAGGAGCAGCAATTCATTTATCGGGGCATTATGATAAAGTTATTGAAAGCCGCCGCGGAGAGGTAACCGGAGAGCTGGCGAGATCAAAATGGGAGATCCAGTTGGCGGGGAGGCACAAAGGAAAACTGGCTGGCCGGCGGCGGCGGCGGCGGCCTCTTCGCTCGGTCACTCCGCTGGTCAGTATTCCCGACGGCACGTACGTACGGAGCAGCTCAGTGCCGAATACGAAATGTTGCTCGGGATGCTGCCGCTGTGCCATACATAAGCTATGACGGTCGCGCAGGCGGCCCGCACGAATGAAAGAATAAGCAGCAACCTGCCTCGCATGTCCGAATCTATCCCCCTTCTTTCCTTATGTATGACTGATGTATACGCCGCGGCCCGAGAGAAGCGTCGCCGATTAAGCTTTCATTGCCGGCAAATTGATTTTTCATTCCTGCCCGGCGGGCCATTCCTCGCGGGACCCGCCGCTGCCGCGCTGCCGTTTTCTCCCGCGCTGATCAAGGCTCGCGTACGCCTGCCGGCCTCGTACTTCACCGCTGCTGGGAATACCGCTGCTGCGCGGCTCTCAATTTTTCAACTGCAGGCCAGCTATCGTTTCAACGTCGAGGCGCCGAGCATAGCTCCGTCGCTTCGCGCCGCGGAGAAGCCCAATTGGTCCCGATAGCGCCGCGCTTTTTTCGCGCCGACCTCGACACACCAATGCGCCGGCTGCACGACCGTCCACACGCAGGCGCCTACGTTGCTGCTTTATCAACGCAGCCGAGCGACGTCCAGCCAGTCGCCTTTGCGCAAGGCCGCCTCGCGTGTGCGGACGACGAAAATGCGCTTTCGTACGCGTACGCGAGACACCTGCGCGCTCACCTACGTATCTGCACTCGACTGTGCTTCGTCAGTCCTCCAAGTTGATCGTTTTTTCATCGCAGACTGGACAGACTTCGGATTTCGACCGCTAGGCGGTTGATTAAAATTCATGAAACTCGCCCGTGGAAGTTAGACTGACTGGCGCGCGCATGTGCATGCATTGTATCCTCGGGAAATGGCCGCTTAGAATTCACGTGGGTTTCGGTTGGATGCCGAAACTCTAACGCCGCACGTTTTCCTCTTTCGCTTTCCGCGGAGCGTTTGCCCCCTCCCTTTTTTCGTCAGTCGTGCTCGGCATATATTGCCAATTGGAGTTGACCGCGCGAGCTAGCGAAGAAAAGTCGATTGAATATTTATGAGTTACGAAAGCTAAGCTATCGCAATTCCGGGAATCGACGAGATATATAGGAGAACAATGACGTCTTCTTGATCACAGGTAGAAAGATTCGCATAAATCGGAGGCACAGCTCGCGTATCATTCCTCCAAGGCCTACCAGTTTTCGACGGCGCCTATTATCTTGGCACAATCTCCTCGCAGCTCCTCGCTGCTTAGAGTCTAATCTCTCGATCTCGCTCTCTTTCGGCGCTCGCTCGCGCCTTATTATGCCGAGCAAACGCTTCGCGATTTACAGCGAGGTAGCTGCCATTATATTTCGGTAATTTGGACGAGTTCAGAAAGTAGCTGCTCTC